TTATTTCATGGCTCCTGCCACTTTCTGAAACACTTCTGGAGTCCTCTTTCACAAGCGGCATTAGCTGTGTGCTCATGCTGCCTTAGTGTTCTGAACTGATTCCAAATGTTTACCTTTCGGGGCCACTTTGCCATTGGGAAAGGGCCAGAAATTGCATGAAGAATGCCATTAACTCTACTCCTGAGGGCAGCTTGTAAAGACCCTCAGGAAGGAGGATTTCTAGAATTTTTCAGAAAGTGGCGAGAAGGATGGAATAAGTGTGTTCAAAGTCAGGAAGAATACTGTGAAAAAGCAGTGCTCTGAAAATATCTTGTACTATAATCAACTTTTTAAAATTTAAACTCACTGTATTTTGATCACATCTCGTATATCTCTCTATGTGTATACGTGTATATCTTTATACATGATATACTCACATGTGTATCATTTAGAGGTTATTTTGCCATTTGCTGTAGCATGTCTATGAGTTATTTCTCATAGTATTTAAGGTATAAACATTTAGAACTGTAATAGCTATGACTAGATTACACTCCTAAAATGGTGATTTGATTCTGAGATTCATAATCATTGAGTCTCGAGTGACACTCCATCACTGTATTTGAGAAGGAAAGAAAGGACAGGATTTGATCGACGACACGGATCTAACACATTGGGGGGTTCCGGGATATCCAAGAGATGCCTTGAACCCTGACAAGACGCATTCTCCAAGGGAATGATGTGGAAGGTGCCACGCGAAGGAAGAGGCTGGAAGCCTGTGGGACGAGACTGCCCCGACAGCAGGGATACAAGGGGGCAGGGGCAGTCAGGAAAGCGACTCCGGAGCAAGCCTGAGGAACTGGAATGGGCACAGCAAGAGAACCTGGAAAAGAACTGAAAGACCAGGAACAGAATCGGGAAGGGGAACCAGCAGTGCAACAAGGGAAGAAAAAAGTTCTAGGGAGTGAATGATGGCTACGTGTGCTGATACTGTGCCCGATTTTACCATTAAATGAAATGTGACAAAACAGTATGTTCAACATGGTATCACTTATGCAGTATCAAGTTTAATATGCCCGATTAAAGAAAAATTTTAAAAAGGAGTAGAATAACAATTAAAACAAGTCTGTGGTATCCCTGAGAATTAGGAATGGAAGGTAGATAGGAGAACTATAACATATTTTACACTATTTTGTATAGCTTAAATGTATTATCACAAACATACACTGCTTTCTTGTCAGCAGTATAACATGAAATTACCACAGGGTCAAGCTAATAGGACAGAAAAGATGAGACTGCAAAGAGGTTATGTTTGGCAAGGAGGATGTCACTGGTGACTTCTACTAGAATGGCTTCAGGAAGAAATGGGACTGCGAGTTGCCATAGCCAAAAATAGTTCTTCTCAAGCTCTCGGGAGCACAGCAATCACCAGGGGAGCTTGTCAGATGAGAGTCTGCTTCTGCAGGTCCTCACTGGAGCCTGAGATTCGCCATCTCTCCCAGCTCCCCTAGGACATTCTCCAGCCGGCCCAGGCAGCGCACATTTGCATGACTATATAATCAGAATGCAGGGGCTGGAGGGAAAGAACACTGTTTCCTTAAGTGTGTCCCCAGGAAGACGAACGCACAGGTGGACCCTCGCGAAAAGACTACTATCAGATAGACTTGGCATTAGTGTTTTATTGAGAATTTGTATTGGTTTTTGCTCTGATGTTCCTAAGAGTCAGAGTTACCTTGTAGAAATGCAAACAGACCTACCCGTTCCAAGTCTAGTGGTCCTCACAGGTTGTCCTAGAAGATGTAGGGGAGCAGAAATAGGGGCCAGTGGTAGGTCAGCGCTTAGAGCATTGTGTCTCTTAACAAGCACAGAAGTCTCTGAGGGGTGGGAAAGCTCTCAAAATAGACTGTTAGGGAACATGCCCTGATCAGCTGGTACTCCCTGATGGTGCCTGCCAGGATGCCATCCATGTCCCCAGATCTCGGGGAAACTTTTCTAGTCCTTTCTGAAATGTCGTCCAGCATAGCAGTACAGCTGCAAAGAGTATCACGATGACCGGCCTGCTCATGAATGCATCAGTACGAAGTCAGTTACAGCAAGAGCAGGAAGCCCCTGAGCTCGCTTAACCTCACTGCTGACGGTGGTCACACCTTGCAGCAGCACAAACCTACTGCCGGGTGACAGCGACAGGGCAGCAGGTGGGAGGCCAGACAGCAGGATCCCTTCGCACCTGCTGAGATGGCACAGCCGAGGCCAGGAGGAGCCTCAGCACTCAGACAACCTGCTGGTAACTGAGTCATCCACACAGGCCCTCCCGCCCTTGGCTGCCCCGCAGTGGCCTTTGAGTCTCTCCAAGACAGGGCAGCTATGCAGGAAGGTTTCATGGGAAACTGTTTTCAAAGGACCCCCAGGGCAAGGGAGAGCAGAGGTTCCTCGCCCTGGCCTGCCTTCATCTTCTGAAAACTGCCACCCTCTCCTCTAACTTCTAAACCTGGCAGCAGAAGGTTGGAGTCATGTGGGGCAGCTTGTGCAGAGATCTGAATGACACCAAATTGGCCATAAAAGGCGCTCTGAAGCCTTTGCCCTCACAGCCGCAGCTTTCTTTCCCCAGCTCTTCGTCAGAGCCCTGCCACGTCAGTCCCACCTGATGTATTTGTCTCTCAAATTTACTGGGGAAGGAAATGGACCCTCAAGGGTCCCTTTGCTATCAGCTCTCAGACCTGCTTCTTTTGAAAGTAAACCCATTTGCACAGCATCGTGCATACAGTGATTATTTCCTGGCCACTAAGGGATACGTGGAGATGCACACCTGCAACGTTCAGGCCCAAGTGCTGTGGCCCCGGGAGACCAAAGGTTGTATTAGTGCTGGTTTCCCTGGATCCCTGCAGGATGCAGGCTTCCTTCTCGTTGGTGCGGTGGCAAAAGAATTTAAATAAATATTAATATTCCCTTCAACACACATCACACTGTTAAATTTGTCTTCAAACATCCCCTTCCCCCAACACATACACACAGTACACTTTAAACACTTAGGAGGTGATCCCCGTCTCAGCCTGCCAGGGTACTGGGATTACAGGTGTGTGTCACCACTCCCAGGTAAAGGTCATAAAACATAGCTCTCCAGTTTAATGTTCCTTTAGCATGTATCATCGCCCTTAAAATCAAGCCGTAGAACATTCCAGCACTTTTCGATCCCAGGCCTGCCATGCTGGTCCCAGCCCCCAAGGGCTTGCTGAGACAGCAATTGAGACTGGGGGTGGTGGTGCACGCCTGTAATCCCAGCTCTTGGGAGGTTGTAAACAGGTAGATCACTAGGAGTCCAATCTAGTAGTGAGACCCTGAACATCCTGTAGGCCCTTCCCTAAAATACAAAAAAAAAAAAAAAAAACCCACTAGGAGTTATTTGTTCTGTTGTTGTTGTTCAGAACCAAGGATTGAACTCAGGCCCTTGCGTTTGCCACCGAAGCGCTTACTCCACTGAGCCATCTCATCGGCCCTCACTTAGGAGTTATTTAGAAAATCAAAAGTCAATTACTGATATCAGCCCCCATATGATGCTATGTATCTAAGCTGTCAGTAACCATACAGCAGAATTGTCTTTTAATATCATCCCCCATGTGCTAATTTTAAAGAATTCAGGCACTAACTTTCAATTTATAATGAGAAAGATTATGCTTTTTGTGTTTATATGAAGCATTCAGCTGCCACTAGCACCACAGAAGTTGGCCAAGTCACAGGAAAACGCATGCAGCCTAGGAATCAGGCCCCCAAGGGGAAATCCTCAAGAAACACGGGAAACTGGAAGGGTGAAGTGCGTACGGGGCGTGTTTCAAAGTTCTGTCTGGTTGTCCTGTCCTCAATTCTGTCTTCACCCAAGGCAGTCCATTAGCAAAAGCAGAGTCAGCAGGGCCTCTTTCTTCATGCTCTCTGAGCCCTCTGCAGACTTCTGTGATGTAGCTGGGCGGATGTAACTGCAGGCCTCTTCGCCTGATGACAGCGGACAGCGTCCTGGAGACGCCCAGGGGCTAGAAGCTAAGTATGGACCTTCCCACACTCTTCACTTAGAGCCCTCATTTCATGATTTCTAACAGGGAGGATATATAAATCATGCAAAGTTACAGGTGACTTTAAAAACTAATGTCACTTTAGGTCTTGCTAAGGGACAGTAGAAACAGAAACTTTGCGGCCAGTCTTTCTGGACCGCCTAGGACACAAACACCTTAATGGAGATCAAATGACTCGTTCCTTGCGCAGGACACAGAGTGGAGCTGCGCTCCCCTGGGCTTGCGCTGGGAGGGACTTGAGCGCTGCCCCCCACCGGAAAGCCCCCGGACCATCACAAGGAAAGCATCGTCCTCGGGAGGAAGCCCCCGCAGGGGAGGCCGGCTCGCCGCCCACCCGGCCCGC